GTGATTCGGATGCAATCTTGGACTCAGGAAATCAATGGAACCGGTTTAGACCAGTCGGAGTAGATTTTTTCCAAGCACTAAAGGGATGAAGGTGGAAAATTTTTGGAAGTTGTTTGCGTATAACTTTTGAACCGTTGATGATATTGAAAAAAGTTTAATAATTTTTTTGAAGTATTAAAAGTACCTACAAAATGGGACAAATTAAATTAAAATTCGTTAATTTGTTTACAATAAACATGAAAATCTGCATTTTTTGGTTTAAACTTCCCATCATTTTAGCAAAATCATTACTTACATTGGAACATAGGGGATCGCCATTGTACTGGAATCTTTGTCTTTTAATGTCGTCGTCATGATGTCCATTGAGATCTCGATTTTCATCTGAAACACCAAAGCCATCGGGCGCTTTTGATAAAAAAGCAAAAATTAAAATAAAAAAAGAAAGTATGCAAATGAAGACTAGGTAGTAAAAACAGTTCGATGGAAAAATAGTCAAAAATGCTTGTTAATAAACGTGCAACCAACAAGGAAAAAACGGCGCAAAAACCGCCGAACAAATCGCATTAAACTAAACCGTAACTTTTTACAACCGTCAAATAAACATAAGAAACAATTACGCGGATTGCATTAACGAAATTCCGCCCAATTAAAATGCAATAACCTCGATTCCGACTTTTTTTTTGAATTTTGGCTGGTAGTTCGGGCTACCAGGGCCATCGACATATACAGAGACTGATCGGTCCATTATTTTTTCCGTGATTTATCAGAGTCGCTGTATCCGTTCGCGGATTCGTTATTGCGATTATATTGACTAGTCGAAGGGCCCGTTTCGAATAAATCGACTCCTATTGTTGGCCCTTTTTGACTTCCCCTCTCGATTGCCCCATCAAACTGGTAGTAGAGACTTTCAGCCGCACTAAAACGCACTTTCAAAAGGCGACCCCAAAAAAATATACCTACGATTAACTTAAAACAAGTTGTATTGATTTTTTGTATTAACAATTTTGGGATCGGATTTGAAAAACTTCAATAAATTCGCCGTTTTTAGTGCTCAGGATTTATATTAGAACTTAGTCGAGTTAATTTAAAGTCTCGGCCCAAATATTTCGACAACAAAGTCAGATATATTTTCGAAACAATTTCAAACGTTAAGATCAATGAAAACGATTTTTCGCGGCATTAGCGGACAAATAATTTTTGGAATAAGAAAAATTTACTGCTTTCGGCAGGACTTGAACCTGCGACCTTCATTTGATTCAYTTTCAATTGAAAACGATATAACATCWRATGAAGAGTYTTTTAGCA